CCCCCATTTTGTCTCTCCTATGATGAAAATTACAGGCCTCTCTCATCTTTTTAAGTGGGAGAACTTGCACAATTGGTGGCTGACTAAATACTTTTTTGCTCCACTGTATGTTAATTGGGAACTATTGTTCAACCAGGTCTTTATCCATATAATGGTAGCATAATCCAGCCCATGTTTTGCTGTCTTCTCTACTAGGAACTAAGGGGAGAATTCATGGAATGCTTTACTGAAGTCAGGGTATATTATGTCCATTGCATTCCAGTGGTCAACTGAACTGACCACTCTATCAAAAAATGAGATTAGGTTGATTGGGATCCTGTAACTGCATCCTTAAAGAAGCACATTTTGGCATTTGCTTCTGCATTGGTTTTTGTTGTTTAGGTAAAAATTCTATTTCCAGTAGCATGAAGCAAACTGTTCTAGGTTTTTTTGCTGGATTCTAGGATAAGTTCTAGTGATGTGAACTTCAACTATGTGTCAGTGCAGACACAGCAGAAGTTAATTATCAGTCATGAAACTATGCTTTGAATATCAGTGGTATGCACATTTATAGGTTAATCTGGATCTGTAAAAGATACATTTACAATGATGTGAAGAGATACACATTTTTGCTCATTATATCATCAGCATTCATGTATTTGCATTTTTATGAAGAGAGAAAACATGCAAAGCAGAACAATCTTCATTTTTTACCTGTTTTCTACTAGAACTGTTTCACTGAGAGTTTAAATACAGTGAAACCTCAATTTAGCAGACCCTCATTTAGCAGACTTTAAATACAATAGACAAAATTTCTGTTCGGATATCCATCTGAAATAAGGGGCAAGTCTGTTGTATCTATTCTGGTAAGGAGATGGCAGTTAAATGTATGCTAATTTTAAAGTTATTTGCATAATGATGTCATTACATAAACACAAATCACTTTATTTGCATCAATTTATGTAACTTGTGTAATGACATTATATATATGTTACATACAGTATGTTATAACATATATATGCAAATAACATAATTGGTATATCATCTGCATTACACAAATGACAATCTGTATGAATTATTTTGCAAGTTAATGGACATTCAACTGTAACAGACACCCCCTTCCCCAACTAGTTCTTTAAATTGAAGTTTCATTGTATACAAAACAGGGAAGCATGGGCACAGATAGATCAAAGTGAGAGTAATTAAACAGGAGATCTTAAGGGTCTGCACAGAGGTAAGAAGCGGAGTGGGGTAGAACTTCGCTACCGAGGTCCGGCATCCTCTGGCAAGACATGAAGTTCTTTTGCAAGCTACATCCAAACTGCAGAAGAGGCTCTCCAACTCAAGAATGTTCAGTCATAAAGTTTGAGAATCATATCAACCCTCTTGGAGAATTATCAATTTGAATAAAAGGTAGATGACACTCTGAAATCATATCATGTAAAAGAACTGATAAGATGGTGAAATCTAAATTGAAAAGTCCTGTAATCGAAACCAACTATTTATAATTAATCCAAAGAAGGAAAGGAAAATAGCAAATTAAATTTAGCATATATAAAAGGACATGTATTGCATGATAGCAAATGGGAAATAGGGTGTTATTGTAGAGGCACTCAGTTTAATGCATAATGTGGGATTTACCTTTTGTTGCTGCTGCTTTCTTTGGATATATATTTGGATATTTATAGCACTAATGTAAGTATGTTTATTCATAAATAAGTAGCCCTGAGTGCAACTTTTGAAGAGTACTATCATATCCACCCTTAATCGTCTTTTCTCAAGGCTAAGTATACCAAGATTCTTCAGTCTGTCTTCATAGGATCTAGTTTCTTGTCCCCTTATTTTCTACACTGCCATTCTCTGTACCATTTCAATTTATCTGAATCTTTCTCAAAGGGTGGTACAGAGAACTGAACACAGTTGACAAACCTGACCAATGCAGAATAAAGAGGAATTAAATTTTCCTATGATTTGGAAAGTATACTTCTGTTGATACAGGCTAAAATTATGTTTTCCTTTTTTGCAGCCATATCATACTGCTGCTTCATATTCAGTTTGCATTAAACTACAATTCCGTGATGCTTTTCACAAGTATTATCATCAAGACAGGTAATCCCAATTCTGTACTTGTATTTTTATGTTTCCAAAATGAAAAACCTTGTACTTTCTCATCTTAAATTTCATTCTATTACTTTAAACCCATTTCTCTAACTTAAGATAATTTTTAATTTTATTTGTTTTCTAGGCTATCCCAGACAATTTTGTGCTATCTGCAAATTTGATAAACATTCCCTCCACACCTTCATCCAAGTAGTTATTAAAAACATTGAAGAGTAGCTAGCCCAGGACAGATCATTCTAACAACCCTCTTGATATCTCTCTACAATTTAATGATGAATTACTGATGAGCCCTCTAAGTGTGATTGTTGAGCCAACTTTATAGCCACATAACTGTCGTGCTGTCCAGCCCACAATTTACTAGCTAGCTAATCAGTGATTCATCTAATCCTGGAGTTTTAAATTCAAAGTATCAAGAGACTCCTTGACCATATTTCTATCAATCTCAGGTTTCAGTCCTGCCCTTTCATTCTGCTCTTCACTATTTCCTGTTGGAATGTGTAATTTTTTGGTTGGAAAAATCTGAACAAAAAATAGTTGAATAATTTTGCCTTCCCTTTCATAGTTACCTTGCAGAGGTGAAGGGACCTGCACACTACAGTGATGCTCTGAACTATATCATTAGAAGTATACACTCCAAGAAGGTTCATCCATGACAGGTAGGTCATAGATAAAGGATCTGACTAAATACAATTTACTAGAGAATAAAATGGCATTCCATTCCAATATTCTGCCAAGAAAATCAACCAAGACAATGCCAACATTGTACTAGAAGATGAGCCAGTCAGGTCAGAATGTATCCAACAAGATACTGCGAAAAAGAGAGGACAATTATAAGTAGCAGTGGTTCTTATGATGTGGCTGGATTAAAGCTGAAAGATGTTTAGTTTCTCATGTGGCCAGATGTCTATACCATTGGTACGGGGAATGCCAGAACCATGAACCAAGGCAAATTTGATGTTGTCAGTGCAGAAGTGTCAAGACTGAATGTTAATATTCTGAGAATCAGTGAAATGATGTAGACTAGAATAGGGAACTTCACATCAGGGGAACACCAGAACTTCTGCTGTGGACTGGAAAATCATAGAAGTAATGGAGAAGCCATCATTATTAACAAAAGGGCATTACAGCTGGTGCTTGCATACAATTCCCAAAATGATAGAATTATCTCAATTTGACTCCAATGTAAGCAAATCAATGGGGCAGTATTCCAAATATTTGCTCCAATCATAGATGCAGGTGGAGGAGAAGTTTAACATTTCTATGATGACTTCCAATACCTTGTCTATACAACACTAAAAAAGGTGGCATATTCATTATAAGCAAGTGGAATGTTAAAGTTAGAAGCAAAGTAGCATTTGGAATAATGGGAAATTTGGTCTCTGTGTACAAGCCAAAACAGGAGACAGACTAATAGAGTTCTGCCTAGAAAAGTCAATGTTTATAACAGATTTCTTCTTCCAACAACCTAAAAGATGACTCTACATATCCACTTTTCCAGAAAGACAACACTGAAATCAAATTGACTATATACTCTGCAAGCAAAGATGAAAAACCACAACAGTGTCCAAAAGATTGCAAAAGATCAATTTATATTCCAGTATCAAAAAGGGCAGTGCTAAAGAATGCAGTTTCACTTATTCACAAGCTGGTAAGATAATGCTTAAAATTTTGCAGTCCAGACCACAGCACCACATGGAACAAGAACTGCCAGATACAAGCTGGATTCAGAAGTCAGATGCCTAAGATCCCATTACAAACATCTGATGGTTAATGGAAAAGACAAGGTAGTTCCCCAAATATTCTATTTTTGCTTTATTGATTACACTAAAGCTTTTGATTAGGTAATAAGTAAATGGGTGGATAGCCCTTAAAATATGGATATACTGGGCAACCTCATCTATTGAAGAATTTGTATGATGGCCAGGAAGCAATACTTAGAACTGTATTTGAAGCAAGTAATTGGCTTAACATCGGGAAAATAATGCATCAAGTTTGTAAACTGTTACTTTTTATATTTATATAATAAGAAATGCCGGACTGGAAGAAATAGACATTGGAATTAAAATTGGTGAGAGAAATATTGACAGCTTCAGACAGATATGCTGAAGATACCTGAAAGTGAGGGAGAATTAAGAAATCTCTTATTGAAAGTGAAAAAAAGAGTGCAAAAGCCAGTCTGCGGCTCAACATTTTAAAATTCAGATCATTCTAACAAGCCGTGCCAACCCAAACCAAACAGGCAAGGAAGAATTTGAAACAGTAACAAACTTCATAGGCTAAAAGATTCACAAGGATAACAACTATACCCATGAAATAAAAAGATGTCTGCTGTTTAGGAGAAAAAAACCCATGACAAATCTAGACAAAATATTAAGTGCAGACACACATTGCACTGACAACAAAGGTACATATTGTCAAGCTGTTGTTCTCAGCTGAAACATGGCTGTAAAAGCTGGATCATCAGGCTGAAGAAAATTGTTGAGAATACTTTGGACTGCAAGAACAAAATCATTCAATATTAGATAAGTAAAACTAGATGCTATTGGAAACACTAATGATGAAATTAAAGCTTAAATATTTTTGGACATATAACATGAAAGCAAGAATTATTGCAGAAGACCTTGATGCTTAGAAAAACTGAAGGCAACTGAAAAAGAGGCCAGC